GGCAAACCCAGGGCATTTGACTCGACTCTACCTCCGTACAGTGGGGGATTTGACTCTGATTAGGAGCAGACGGGCGGGCATTTGACGGGTAGGCGACCATCTTGGAAATTGTCGATTCAGATGCGAAACCGCTATTTCGTGACACAATACGAACTTTTAAGCTTAAGTTAAAAATAAAAATATCTCGGGAACCTAAGCATTTTAATAATAATAATACGTATTATTTATATAGCGCCGATATCCTTACAGTTCAAAGGCGCTTCACATGATCACGGATCGCTATTAGCAGCCACGAGGCTTACAATCATTTTTGGGAACATTCTCGATCTTTTGTACTTTCACGATGAGAAATCACGATACAAAAAGCAACAAAAACACTCGAAAACTAGCGTAAAAAAAACTGACTTATGGGGCGGGCATTTGACCACTCATTTGCTTTTACTAGTGGGTATTTGACTGTCAATTTTGCCCATATGGTGGTGAATTTGACCAATTTTTTTCCAAAAAGTCAAATGCCCGGGGGTTCGCCCGGGGGGGGGGGGGGAGGAGGGTGGGCACCTTTGGAATTGACTCATACATAACACTTCCCCTCGTGTTATATCAAGTCAGCAACTCGAAGAGTGATAATTGTAACATACAGCGATCGATAGCTGATAACGTCTGAATTGCTTACTAATTGACTAGCGCGAAAAATGTTTAAAGACTTAATTTAAATTACAACAACTATAGCGAAAGCCCAGCTTACTGTATTTCATAAGTTTATAGGAAAATTCATTGAGGGACTAATTCAAGGGACTGAAACTCTAAAAACGACTTGACCAAAGTTGTTTTACTAAGTTGTGATTTGTTATTTCTTTTCGTTCCCCTTATTTTGACTTTTACTTTCACATGAAAATCATATCAGAGGACTTTGACCGTTACTCATAAAAAGCAATCAAAGTTTTTACCTTCATTGATTTTGATAATTGAGCCCAGGATGTCACCGGCGTCTTGCTCGTCGTTAGCTGAAAAATACGAAAACATTTCTCTATGTGAAGGTATCCTTTAGCAGCATGATTGTGATCGAGTGTTCCGTCTTTTTATATCCGTTTGTCTGCCCACCCTGTCACGCAGTAGCTGTATAGTTCCAATTGTAGACTGGTTAAATCATTATACGGCCCATTCCAGGACCCTTGTGAGTCTAAGTCTTTGTTTTAGTATTCGTGTAATTTCTAAAGACTGTTCTCGAGCGTTGAAAGGAAACACTTATAGAGTCAATTTCGTATGAGTGGGAAACTTACGGTAGAAATTACCGCACGGTTACCGCACATGTACAGTTACCGGACCTCGCCTCCAATAGGGAACTAGAATTTGGTTACAGTACGATTACGGTCACAGTACAGTACCGTACGTTTCCCACTCATACGAAAAATCCGCTCTATTCCCAATTCCAACGCTCTGAAATAGGCCAATTTGAAACCTTTCCTCGTCAAGAACTTGTTGGAAGATCAATGCATTATGGAATGTGGGAAAGGTTATAACATTAATTCGTTTGCATTCATAAAACAAACGTTTTTCCATGCAAAGCTGGAATTGGCTATGACCTGAACTGAACCACACAGAAAGAACTGTAATAACAAATACAAAAATAATCAAAACTGAATTTAGTACTTTGATCGCGTTGAACCACAGGACCACAGTTTACMAGAGTAAAAACCAATCCACAAACCAATGCGAATAAAATATTAGCATTCAGCATTTTCGTGCGTCTTCAGTGTATTGAGTGATGAACGTGAAACGAAATCAATGATATGATATTTGCTGAATGGTTCAGATGACACGGCCTTTTCATGGCGCTGTTCAATTACTTGTATTATTTCATCAAAAATCTATTGATCTATTGAAGGATGAGCATGCGCAGTACGTTACGTTTGCTAGTGCACACAATAAGCTTGGTGATTGGCTTGTCGACACTTTCAAAATTCCACTTGATTGGATAGTTACTTGCAATAATCCAGTTTCGAATTCTCCAATGCTCTGTGTTAGCCTCATTTGTGCGCAAAATATTACTAATTGTGAGAATAAAAGTTCGAGATTTCAAAATCAATTTTATTGTCTTTCTTAACAAATTCAATGCGTTTTCTCGGGCTATCATTGAAACAAAAGAATATGTTACTTGGCTTTGAAGCTAACACATCAAACCAGAACTCAAAATTGGAGTATTGTATGTTGGCAAGAATCCGTATTTATTTGGAATGTTATGTGATCAAACTTTCTTTTATTTCACGCATGTGTACACAAAGAACTAAACCAACTCTTTATTTCTTTTTTTCTATGCTTGTGGGTGGGACATTTTTCCTCCGTCCCCATTAGGTAGCTTTTAATAACATTGTGTAGCTTCCAAGTCTCTAAAGTCTTTAAATAAAAATTAATGATAGTTACTACTTCTTTGATTATGTTTCGCGGTACTATTAAACACCTTCAAATGAGCTTGCTGATCTGCTTGTCAACACTTGATTGGCTAGTCAATACCAATGTGTTGGCAAGGTCTAAGGATATCAGTTAAAATTATACTCTATCTATATATAGTCATATTTACAAGAACTTACAGCCCGGTTGACAAAAGAGTTGAGAATTTCAATAAACTACCTGACTAAATACTTTTTAAAACACTAATTCCCAGAAGTTTTCGCTTTTATGTGCATAGTTGGTGTTATTTTTGTTTTGGTTGCGAAGTGTAAGAGCTTACATACAGTGTTTCTTCCTTCATTTCATTGAAATAGATCTCCGCTGGTTTTATTAAGCTTTATACATCAGAAATAATAAAGATTAACGTTAAAAGCAATAAAGAGTCTTACTATAAAAAAAACAGATACAACTTAACAGGTGAGGCAAGCACGTTTATTCAGCAAGTCCATTCAACAAATTACATGACCTTTTTCTGCTTCAAACCTGAAAGAGAAGACAAAATTAGATAGACATTAATTTACCATTCATACGATACTTTTAATACAATTTAGTTGAATAGCGTTAGGCGCACACCATTTCGTTTAGCCTGAGTAGCGGCCCTCAGGGAATTGGGGAGGGCCGGCTGAGCGGGGAGTGGGGAGTGTTTTTTTTTTTCTCCTCCCATTCTCCGCTCGGCCCTCCCAAATCCCTTAAGGGCCGCGCTACGCAGGCTACCTTTCGTTATATACCAGGTACTTGGTAGACCATAAAAGACTTTTCTTCACCAACACCATTCCGGCAGTCTGTGGACGGACCGTCTCTGTCGTATTGTACATCATCATCAGGGCCACTCCAACATTCACCGTAAAACTGGATTCCAAAATATGTGTATCTATAGTATTAGATGATTAATATACACTATGACGACAAAATATCCTTATAAGGGGAGGAAGCGGGAGGGGTGGAGGGTTCTCTCGCCGAGAGTTGTCGCTCTTCCGTTTTCCTTTAACGGCGCCCTTGGCTATTGTCTCTGATCGAGTAGCACGGAAAACTCTTACTGTGTTTTCGAATACTAGTATTAGGTTAGGTGTTTCGGCCTTCTACTGAATCTGTCAAGTTGTTTTCTTTATAATCAGTGTACTCATGGCGCTTACCCACGTTCTTTGGTCTTTTTAGCACACTTGTCGATGACAGAAGTCTTTAGGTCATGCCAGTCAATTGCCTCCCTGTAGTTTACGATAAGTTGAGGAAAAGGTCTACTATTATCAACACCCTTGTCCAGGAAGCATCCCAGAGATTTGCTTGGTTTCTATTTGGAAAAATGAAAAACATGCATGCACATGATCTATTTATATATGTTATTATACCTAATACACCTCTTTTCGAGAATTTTAGACGTACATGATATGGCATATATGTTAAAGATATCACCAATTGCTTTGAAATTATGAAAGAGCCGGCGCCGGCTTCGAATATCTAACATAACTCAGACTTTCAAAGTATCATCTTAGCCTCCGTAGCAGAGTTCCAAGCGGTTCGATTCTCTCCCGCAGAATCGAACCGCTTGGAACGTCTCCTACGGAGGCTACTATCATCTATAGTTTATCAGAATTGACTGGCCAGATCCAACTGAAAACTTTAATATAATCATCATCAGAAGCTAAGAATCAATTTCTGAATTTTATCATTTGATATGTATAATGTAAAACTTGGAAAATTAGTGTACAATCTCGATAAAACAAATTCCTTAGTCTAACATGATAGATCGGTCAATCCAGTTCTGCATTAATGAAAAGCACCCGCATATATCTTAAAAACATTTCTGAGTTCTTATCAAAAGACGACATTTCGATTACGACATCTGATTATCAGAAGAGACAAATATTGGAACAAAGAAAGCTAATAAAAAGGAGAATCTATATTAAAAAGATTAAAGACCTATCAAAGCAAACTCTATTATTCAAAACTTTTTATTCAACTTTTATATTTCAGAAAAAGCAAAAACTCTGAAACTACAAAGTAAAGTCCAAGACAGGCACAAGATGCATTGTTGCAGGCATATTAAACTCCACTTTAACTGCGTTACTAAATTATAATTCTAAACGTGATTGCTTTGCATCGATGTTTCTAGTTTGTACGGAGCTGGCATAGTCACTATGAAACCAGGAAAAAGCTCTTTGAACAGCCATAGAAGGGCCAACAATGCATGCTTTTCGGTATTAGAATATTCGACGTTTTCTAAAATAGCTGAATAGTAAAGTTCCCATCTTCTTAAACACTCATATTAGACATGATAATGACGTTATGTAAATTAAACGCGAAACGTCAACTTTTAATATCAAACTGTTTTCGTGGATAGTTTTTTAGCTTTGAATTTTCTAAATATACATTTTATTAAGCTTCCTATAAAAATTGGCATATTTTCAAATATCCAGCGATTGTAATAATTAACATCATCATTATCATGATAGTGGTGGTACTATTATAATCATATTGTTGTTATGGTAACCTTAATGTCAACGTAGACAAAACCTTGAGTCTCTTGAAGGTCGTTTTCGTCGTCAGCGTCGTTCAATTCACAGATCTCAGTTGCTATCTCGTAATTATATGTCAAACACCTTGAATTGATGAGGGATTATGAATTAATTTAGATCAATTATAATGATATTTGTCTGCAGGTCTATCATTGAAATAGTAGGTCATTAATTGCACCTTTCGACCATATTGCATTTGAGTCTACAAAGAACCTCCTTTTGAGCATACAGCCAGTTGATAACATGTCCGTACAGACGAGAGCCATCTTTTTTAGTCATAGTCATGTCGGGCGCTAATGCTGGACATTGACCTGTAATATTCAAACAGACACCGTTAATCAAAAAGAAAAAATTTAAAAAGCGAAAACTAGCAAGCAATAAATGAAGTGGCGAAAAGAAATTATTTCACTTAGTGGCGTAGGGACGAGGGCAAGGGGCGTGCGTGCAGACTCTGACAAATTTGATAAATGTCAAGGTAAAAGGAAAAAGTTGAACCATACGAATTTCTAAGATTTTTTCTATGTGCGCCTACGCGAAATTTCAATGTGCCCCCACCAAAAAGTCAAGTCAGCGAAGATCAAATTTATATCAGCGCTAAATGTCAGCGAGTTTAAAGTATAATGACCAGTATGTACCACCATTTGAAAACTATAATACTAGGCATTTTACTTGCGACGTGCCAACAAGTAACTACAAATCACTTATATCATCATTTCCTGAAAAAACACAACAGAGTCCCCACATGCCTTGCAATGTTGTCTCCATTTTCATCTTATGATCATTGGTGAGTATGATAGAACTCATTAACACAAGCAAAACATTACAGGTGGGGCAGAGGACCGGAGGGAAGACGAGGGAAGGAAGGAATATTGTACACTTACTGTCTCGGGCAAAACATTTAGGTTTTATTATCACATCATAATTATTGTTATTACTATATTTTGCGGTGATATCAAGTTTAAAAAAAAGCCCGAACTAAAGAAATTAATTGTCCAAGAAAATTTTACTCGAACCGCGTAGGGCCATTCCACTTCTGCTATTTTCGGCCTAGTACCAGTCAATAATAATTAAACAAATATGAAAAAAGCAAACAAACTGACAGAAGAATACCTATCAGGTGGCTWTTCGGTTAAATCAAACTTAATAACTAGCTCGAGAAATAAATTTTACTCAAGCACAAATAATATAGTATTGAGTGTGTTCATTGTCCTGGCCTGAGATACTTTCTTTTCTCTTGTTTTACAATTATCGATGAGCGCGGTTGGAAGAAGATGGGAAATATGAATGTCATAATGTCACGACCAGTACTCTAAATTAAATGACAACATCGATCAATGGACTTCGAAATTTGAGTAGATTATTAAATATTAATCAATTATCTTAAATAGTCTTCAACATATTGGATGAGCAGATGTTTTTCATATTTAACATCTTAAAAAATAGTTTTCCCTTTATCAAGATAAATAGTGTATTACAATCACAGAAATGCAGTCGATATCACAACATAAATGTCCAGTATACAATATTAATGTGAACAACGTATGTGATAACCGAATACATAAATAACACTACTAAATTTTAAAAAGGCAGCTAGAGAGTGAACCGAAGTCAAGACATGTGTGCAATGAACTTTTATTCATTCAGAAATTAACGGACGTTCACAAAAATAAAAAGTTCCCAAAACAAAAAGCATGCAATTATAGAGTCACCACCTGAAAATGTATGAAAATAGGGTTTCTCTAAATACAAAACTCACGCAAGTAATTTTGCATTTTCCCATTTTACGATATTGTATACATTTTTGTAAAATAATTCCATATAACATACTATAGAAAACTTATGTCTTACCTTCAATTCCATGTATAGTGTAAAACAAGGCTAAAACGAGGAAACAGAGACCAAACCGCGGCGATCTCATTTCTATTTAGTTTGGATTAACATTGCTGCAGGATTTCTTACTGTTAAACTGCCTGACGTAGCATGAACAGGAATTCATTATTGGACAATGAAGTAGGCGTCTCATTGGACTCTTGCGGATTGTATTGACTTATCATGACATTTTATTCATAAACGGTCTCTTTCTCCATATTTCCTGAGTCCTGTCAGCAAGAACAGCACAAGTACTGTGTAATGGAGGCTTGAAGACATTGAAGAATTCCAGCTTCGTTTTGCAGTTTCAAGATTGTGAAGACGATTGACTACAACTGAAAATTGTACGAGCAGTGTTTCAGATTATGCAAAACAAACTGCTGGATTATCTGAAAATTTGCTAGCCTATCGATTTGGGCCGGTAAAGTGGCCAAGAAAGGGGCGTCGGAATTTTGAAGCAACTGGAACCACCCTCTAAACAAGCTCTTGATAATATTTTTCAGTCAATGCGTTATGCGTTTTTCGAGGACATTGCATTAAACCATAAAAACCATGAAATAAAATCAAACTAAATACTAACAAATAGCGGCTATTTAGAGACAATTTGTCAGTATCAATGAACTATGACGCAATAAGTATAGGTAATAAGATGGTTTTAATTAATTTGCACGAGTTTGTTTTTCAAAGAGGCCATAATTGCGTGAGGCCGTAGGCCGCAATAAATATGAATAAAAAATGGTCCCATGTGGATTCATCTTCATTGTGTTCTGGTTCATTGATGCTGATAAATTTTCTCTAAATAGCCGCAATTTGTTATTATTTAGTTTGATTTTATTTCATGGTATTCCTGCGTTTGGTCTATRTCAGCTGATGGTCCTTCCGTTAGCATAAAAACGTCACAATCCCTGGTTTTTMATTCATTTCGCTTTAGTAAAAAGAACGGCTGGTAGTACAGTCAACTCTCACTATTACGGACACCCTCGGGACTGTAATTTAGTGTCCGCAGTAGCGAGAGTCCGTAGTAACGAGAGTTACTTTCAGTCATGTCTTTGTATTTTTCGCCGGGGATTCAGTATTTTACTGCCCGTAATATCGAGGTGTCCGTTGTAGCGGGGTGTCTGTAAGACGAGAGTTGACTGTACTTGCAGCAAGACTAACAAAAATCACGTGTCTCCGTTAAACATCAAGTTGGACAAAAAATATATACGTGAAATGTTTATTATTAAAGGACTATTATACTTAACTTGAACATTAACTTAAAGAATTTTTGCAAAATTATGTTCATGGATGGTCATATGATACACATGCAATGATATTGTTTGATCAACAACAAACACTACCTCTTAACTAATCATTTGTCTTCATTGATCACTGCATTACTTGACCAACACAAAATCTTTTCACAGATATGAATTAACAATAAATAGAGATTGGAAAGAATGTCCAAGCAAAACCAACACAAGGAATTGAYCAGAAATCGTCTTTTGACTGGCAATTACCTTAAAACAAACAATACAATTTATATTTTGATTGCTTTCAAGCTCTAGTGCAACGTTTTCTGTCATTACAATTGCTTTTATCAACAAAAAAGTCCATTTTAGCTAGAATCATATCAAGCTTCTTTTCAATTCCGTCAATTCTCTGCTCCATTGTTTTGTTGAACTTGACTAAATCTTCAGCACTTTTTACTCTTTGAAGTCTCTTTCTCCATTTCCTGAGTCCTGTTAGCAAGAACAGCACAAGTACTGTAATGGCTGCTACAATAGGCTTGTCTGCAATGAGTGACCCCATCCACATGCACAACCCAATGACAAATGCCAATCGTCGCATGCACCAAACAGGCCCAAATACAGAGTGTAGAAGAAATGAGCTTGACATGACAAGGAAAAATTTRTTGTACGATATTCTTGAAAATGTCACAATCCCAGAGAATATCCAAAACACAAGTAGAATTAGGGAAAGAAGTTTGTAACGACTTTGTGGTACCTGCTGAAGTACCAATGAATCTGAAATCAAACAGGGAATTCAGCT